GTGGCGAACCACATCGCCGCCATTTTGGTTAATTTTTTGATTATCCATTGCGTTCCCACGAATAGCGATGGTAAGGTTTGTCCCCCCAGCAGAGCCCCGCATGCCAGGGTAAGGCTAGCCTAATTCTGGGGTCGCCCGGTCCCAGGGCAGTGTGGCACGCTAACGACTAGGCTCGCCCCTAGCCATGCATCCATCCGCGCGGCCGACGTTGGATTGGCGGAGGGTAGGAATAGGAAAACGGGAAGGATAGGTGGTGTGAAAAGGAAGAGTAAGGTAAGTTAGGGTAGGAAATAGTAAATGTAGGATATTACCGTCCATGAGGGCAAGGGATAGGACAGTAATGGCTAGGGTAGCCGGGGTCGCATACCCGTATACCATACCACAACTACCGGACAGGTAAATTGGGATGAGTATCCCTCGACTAGTTAACTCAATTTTATGCATTTTCATTTTTAAGTGTTAGATATATTTAACCTTTACTACTAATAACATTCTGGCGGATAACTGACTGGCATGTTAGTAGTGAAAACTCGATTTCAAATCACAGATAATTTAAGTTTGTGATTGGAGCATCACCAACTTTTGAAGCTGTTCCTTTTAGAGATCCGAAAGCGACCTCCTGGGATGTCTATAGAGACAGTCTAAGGAGGAATTTGGAAATATTTCCTAATATCATCATAATGATTGTAGATTTGGAGTTAGCGACGGAGACTGTAACCGTAGGTATCCATGAAGAATTTGGAGACGGATGTCCTGTCAAAAACCAAAACCTCAACATGAAAAGTTCCTTCATGGAATACTAAGCTAAAGGAGCTTAGGGAAAAGATCAGAAAACTATTCAATAGGGCCAAAAATTCAGATATTTATAAGGCAGCCCTAATCGAATATAATAAAGAAATTATGAAAGGTAAGAGTGCACCGTGGAGGAAGCTTGAAGGAAGCGTGGAGGAAGGAAGAAGTTGAGTCTTAGCCTCGCAGTGCAAGACTACACAAAATGCTATCGAAAGCTAAACCTAATCAGATTGGGCTTCTTAAAAAACATGATGGTAACTTCATTACTTGTGAAACAGAAACATTGAAGTTACTAGCGTCAACCTATTTCCCAGGGTCACAGAAGACTTTTACCCCGAACTTCTTTCAGAGCCCTACGAAGGCCTTGTAATTAGGACTGGTGTAGGGCTGCAAAGATAATAAGGCCAAAGCTGGTGCAGTGGGCTGTTGACTCCGTTAAACCATATAAGAAAAGCGAGGAGGAAGGAATAATTCCCATCCAACTACTGAGGGGTATCGATATCCTTCTTCCGTATCTGGTGAAAACCTTCAGAGCAAATTTTGCATGGAGATATATTTCAGAACGATGGACAATCGTCAAAGTTCTATTTATACCTAAGGCTGGTAGAAAGGACTACGCTTTACCAAAGTCCTTAGGGATATATTAGGGATGTAGCTATAGCCACGAGGCCCATACATTACAACCACCATGCTTACCGCAGAGGCAAATCTACGGAAACAGCCCTGATGAGTGTTTTTGACCAGGTCGAAGAAGATAAAAGAAATAGCCCTGTGTGCGTTTCTAGATATTGAGGTCGTCTTCGACAGTAGCCCCACATCACTGCTGGTTTATCATCATCATCATCATTACAGCCCTTCACAAGTCTACTGCTAAACATAGGCCTCCCCTAAGGAATGCCACAAAGCACGGACCTGAGCCACCCGCATGCATCGACTTTCTGCATGTCTTACCAGGTCGTCACTTCATCACTTACATTATATATATTTCGCCTACCGGTACGAGGCTACCACTCAAGAACCTTTTCCCCCATCGGTTGTCGGTTCTTCGAGCAATATGGTCGGCCCATTGCCACTTCAGCATACTAACCCGTTGGGCTTTGTCGGTCACTCTGGTTCTACTGCGGATATCCTTATTTCTAAGTTTATCACGCAGAGAAACTCCGAGCATAGCCCTCCCCATAGCTCGCTGAGCGACCCTGAGCGTCCTCATACGGCCAGCAGTGAAGGAACACGCCTCAGTTCCATAAGTCATCACTGGCAATACGCACTGGTTGTACAGTCTCGTTTTCAGGTTTTGTGGTGTAGCTGACGAGAAGATGTTTCGTAATTTCCCGAACGCTGCCCAGCAGAGTTGAATCCGTCGATTGACCTCTCGGCCGAAGTTGGACTTACCTAATCGGACTATTTGTCACAGGTAATCGTACTCATCAACAACTTCGAGCTTAGTGCTCCCAACAACTACCAGCATAGGTGTGACATGGACGTTAGACATGATCTTCGTTTCGTCCATGTTCATCTTAAGACCTATCCGTTGGGAAGCATTACTGAGGTCATTGAGCATAGTGCTTAGGTCCTTCAGCGATTCTGCCATAAGGACTATATCGTCGGTAAATCGAAGGTGAGTGATGTACTCGCTATTGATGTTTATACCGTATCCTTTCCGGTCTAGTATCTTGAAAACGTCTTCCAATGCAGCGGTGAAGAGTTTCGGGAATATAACGTTACCCTTTCTTACACCTCAATGCTGGCTGGAGACCTGAAATTTAAAAATGACCCCACAACCATAAGGTGGGTGAAGTCGGTGCTATCAAACAGAAAAGCAAAATACTTCGACCGAGGTTGCAACTACAAAAGGTTGCCCACAAGGAGGTGTTCTGTCACCCCTTCTTTGGACTCTTGCGATTAACCAACTATTGTACAAGATCGCAGACCTTCGCATTGATACTCTGGGCTATGCTAATGTGGTCATTGCTAGGGTATTTTTCAAAGTAATTTATCATTAATCATACAAAGAGCCCTAAACACCATAAATAACAGTTTATCAGTAAATACCTACTGACAAAACTGTAATAATACCCTTTACCAAAAAGAGACGGTTGGACTAATTTGTCACACCAAAACTCAATGGTAAAGAAGTATACCATTCTCCACTGAAGTTAAGTACATATCGTACCGGGCGTAACAATCGACCAAAAACTAACGTGGAACTCTCACCTTAGCAACGTATGTCATAAGGCTAAAATTGCTTTAGGTACGTGTAGTTGTATGGTTGGGAACAACTGGAGCTTGCGTTCCAAATCCTGTGGCTGTACAGCAGCATTGTCAAGCCGATTATTACCAGCGCCTCCATTGTCTGGCGTAATAAGGCCAACCAAAAGATGACTGTGGACAGACTAAATAGTCTACAAAGTATTGTCTGCTTAATGGAAACTGGAGCGATGCGGTCATCACCTGGAGCGGCTATTAATGCACTTTTAAGCCTAACGCCCCTTGTTATTTAGATAAGGCGAGGGTTGGTTTGTATAGGATAAACGCTCAGGGCGGTCTGAGCTTGCTTTCCTATAGATTGAGATCTAGGCTCGACTCAATTAAGGAAACACTAGTCTTATACATGATCACAGATATCACGCATCCACTATACACTATCAATAAAAAGTATATAGTGGAACCACCCTCCAGAGAAGACTGGCTCAATGGACAGGTTATCTGTGAGGTCAGTAGCCATATATGGTATACCGATTGGTCAAAAATAGGCCCCGACGTAGGCTTTGGAATTTATGGGGAACGCCCCAAATTCAGACTTACTATAAATTTGGGTAGATTCACCTCTATCTTCCAGGCAGAAATTTTGACCATACTTCAGTGAGAGGTTATCAATCTGCAAAAACACTACGTAAGCCATATAATCTATATAAACTCAGATAGTCAATCAGCACTGCTAGCGCTGAGATCAAAGTTAGTGAACTCGAAGCTAATTGTAGACTGCGTGAACTGTCTAAACGCCCTGGGATGTAATAACAGGGTCGGGGGTTCCGGGTCACGCAGGTATTTTAGACAATATATAGCTCGTATTGGAGTAGCGATTTTGTATTGATAGCTCCAGTCTTTCCTATAGATCTGTCTGATAAAAATATCCAAATGTCTAACTGTTTCATATCCGTCCTCCATGGTTGCACTATTACGGAAGTGTGGAACAGAAGTGCGATCGTACATACATTTTCACGTCACGTACATCTCAAAACATGAAATCATGTGAGAACAACCACAGTGCATGCTGCCAGTGATGACATTTCATTGTGAAACGATGTCCTTCATTACTAACCGTATGAGTAAAATAAAGGTCACTCAGCAAGCTCGGACGACATAACCCAACGGATCAGTAAGCTGAAGTTGATACTGTGGCCTTAGATTTTACTTCGTTACCAGTAAAAAGGGTTTCTGGTTTTCTACACTGCTGCAATGCTGTGTTAGCATTATTCTGTTATTTCACGTTGCTATTTTGTGTGACCCTGGTCGAGCTTCAGCTTAATTCTACCACGGAAAAAAGAACTATAATATACATTCAATATACCATGCTTTGTATAATAGGTACGTAGACAGATTCCAATTGGATTCTCTGTTTACGGCATAATATTTCATTCTTCTGACAACCTATCAAAATAATTTCAGTTTACCTTCAATCAACATTAAATATTTTTGTACTTATGGAAACTCCACAGTTATTGATACGTGTTTCGAGTGTTTTATGTTCATAAATAAAATTAATTTTGTTCTTTGTGAACAGTGTTTTCTTCGGGTTTTGAATGTTTCGGCGCAATAATAAACATTAATAGTAAGTTTATCTCAACGTGTGTTTTGTAGTGTAATATATCGTGTTAGTGTATAGGTTTTACTCATAACATAAACAAATTTTACTTCATAAAAATTTTCTTGAAGAGCAACAGCCACGCATATTCTATATAAAATAATGTATTATTTTTCCTCTAAAAATCTCCCATAACTATTTAGTACCTATCTTTTTATTTAAAAAGAATATATTATAGGTAGTATTATCAGAAAGTCCCAATTAAATTATGTACAATGTATGATATTTCGTCTCACTTTTTCTTCACAAAGTAACCTACCTTGAGTGTTGATTGTGTAAAATATGTGTATAGTTACATGTAGATATCATTTTACGCATAATTCGAAAAATTCACTAGTGAACAATGAGTGCACTTAACACACGTGGCGAGGTAACCGTTTTGTGGTGCGCCACCGCCGCAGCGATGGTGCTGATCACCATTACCACGGTGGTGGGAAATCTCGTGGTGATGGCGGCGCTGTGGCGGGTCAGGCGTGCTCCGTCACATTATCCACTGGCGAGTTTGGTCACAGCCGACCTCTTTGTGGGTATTACTGTGCTGCCTATTGCTGCTGGGAGAGAGCTTTTTGTGTTTCATTTGGGTGAGTAATTACTCTGTCACATTTCATTTTGATCGTAATTAGCCTGTAATAGTCTACAGCTGGGAAAATAATTCTGTTCGGATTCTTCTAAGTCGGAGGCACACATCGAAGTGAGGCAGCCGCCGGACGCCGAAAGAATTGGCAGCACAGAAGTCACTTCTCATTATCTGTTTGAAAATTTTATTACGTACGTATAATATTAAAACCAAAATAAGTATGTTAATAGATACTTATTTTGGTTTTAATATTCGGTTTGGCATTATTTGCAGTAGCAACAACAGAGTCAAACAAACCATCCCCTATGCAATATTTTATAATAGAATAAGAGTGACAAACGGGTTCACACTCCATCGAATAGTTAGTAGATGCTGTTGCCCATAGACATCTACATTTCTCGCACTCCTATGATATGACTTTTCAATAAGAAAACTGTAAATAGCTTTAACTTAAGGCTGGACTCACACATTCGGAAAGACTCCGAATTCATTATCTAAATTCATAATATCACACATTCCGATTTTTTCAGATATGTAATGGTTTTTTCAAATCGATCTATAAGAATGACACTGATGGAACGTTCTAACGCTCGTTAGGGTTCCGTAGTTAACTAGGAACCCTTATAGTTTCGCCATGTCTGTCTGTAAGTCTGTCCGTCCTCGCTTAATCTCTGTGACCGTCAGCACTAGAAAGCTGAAATTTGGTACCAATATGTGTATCAATCACGCCGACAAAGTGGTAAAATAAAAATTGGAAAAAAATGATTTATTAGGGTAGCCCCCCTATATGTAAAGTAGGAAGTGATGTTTTTTAATTTCAACCCTAACGTGTGATATATTGTTGGAAAGGTATTAATGAATAGGGGTTTACTAAAATCATTTTTTGATAATTTCAATAATTTCGGAAATAATCGCTCCAAAAGTAAAAAACAATGTGTAACTTAACCCCTCTAACTTTTGAACCATAAGTTTAGAAAATATGAAAAAAACTGAAAAGTAGAACTTTATAAGGACTTTCTAGGAAAATCATTTTGAACTTGGATGGAAACAACAGTACCCACTACCGGAAGCAGTTGCAGGAGCGCGGAGCGCTGCTGGAGCGCGAACATAATGGATACTCACCTTTAAACTCATAAGTGGGAACACTTATTGTGACGGACGGGAAACTACGGAACCCTACACTGAGCGTGGCCCGATACGCTCTTGGCCGGTTTTTATTTTTCTATACATTTGAACACGCGAGTGCACACACACCGGAATCAGATTATGAATTCTTTCAGCTGATACTGCGAGTGGTATCAGTTAGAAGTTTTGCGACTTGTGAAGACTTTCCTTTACTCTGTTAACATGAATCCAGTGTATTCGTTTGCGTCTCTGTTTTTATTATTTTAAGCAAAAGTTGGATGAGTATTAATTCTTTTTTTATGAAGATACTGATTTATCAGAATTTTTTGGGAGAGAGTTTTTTCCAGCCTAAGTACAGGTTGTAAGTATATTATTATTGTAATCATACCGTAGTTTTCTGATAAATAAATAAATAGTTTATACTTATGAGATAGTCACTTAAAGAAATGATTCCATCTCTAATGGTGAAAAATTGTTTAATGTAACTATTAGCTTAAATACAGCTTAACAAAATATTCCAATATCTTCTATTCTATTCACTCTTGCCTTGAAGACACCCTCATTGTAATCAGATGGAAAGACAATATTTTCTCATCTTTAATTGTTTTGCTATAGATTGGACACTATGCTCGTTCTGGAGCACAATGGACGTGCTTTGCTGCACGGCGTCCATTTTGTCGTTGTGCGTGCTTGGCTGGGAGCGGTGGTGTGCCATAACGAAACCTTTGGCTCGAGCTAGACGGGCTCGTCATGCCAGACTGTTGGCAGTGCTTGTGTGGCCGGTGGCAACTCTGGTGGCGTTTCCCACTGTGTTCATACCGTCACCGTATCACCACCAGCCGGGGGAGCTGGCGAAAGCATGCACTGTTAACACTAACATTATGTAAGAGACATTATGTTTTTTAAATTTATTTATTTATTTCTCTCAACAAGGATCATGGGGTAATATTATATTCATTCAAGTTAATTCTTATAATAAAATTATAAATATAATATCAATATACAGAATGTTTAGTAATAGATTAATAAAAGTACTAGAATATGATTAGAATTTTATTTGATTAAAGCAATGAGATGATGTCTTTTTGATCGATTTATAGCCACCGAAGGATGGCGTAAAACTGTGTCACATATAGATCAGATGAATAATATTCAGACCAGTGACATATTAAAGGTTTAATTTGTCTAATGGGCTATGTACAGATATATGTCTACGTATGTATGTATGTATGATGGACTGTCTACGCGATGAAAAGAAAAATATAGAAGTATTTTTCTGATTAATCCAGACGTCACAGTCACACGTGACTAGACTAGTAATTATATCAGCTGGCTTACTTGGCCTATACCAAAGCCAAAGAGCGTGCGCAGATTCATTCCTCATTCCCCTTTCTATCGTCGGACAACGCCTACAAAGATGGTTAGTGGGTGTCTCCACTTCTTTGCTGTCGATATATGGAACTTGTTCCAAAAACTGAATGCTATCAAATGGAGATAGGACATTGAGCTCAAGTATATGCACAAACAGCGTAGGGAACACTAATTTTCTGCCTAGTATTCCGCCGGGGAAAGGGTGGCCTTATATTTATTTATGCCAAATAGTACTGCTTTCACTGCCGTGTTTCGCTTCTATATCCTTCACTGAAGTTGGCCGCAGCTATACACAGAGTACAGTCCACCTAATGGTAAGATTGGGTGGACTGTAAGTTTGTTTAACACGTCATTTGTTAAAAGAACGCTTCACTACGCAATTCGAGCTATGTTGCTCCAAGCTTTCACTATACGCGGTAGAGCCACGCTGCAGCTATATTATGGTTGTAATACAAGGTAGATCCATGCTGCAGTTATATTATGGTTGCTGCACGAATGGGTCGGCTTGACCGGGGAAGGATCACGCTCTCACAGAATACCAGCGTGAAATAGCAGCTCTATGCCGCTGTGTTTCGTATGGTGAGTGTGGAGAACCGGAGACCCTTTTTACAAGAAACGAGGCATTCCATTTTAGTCCTCAGGGGTGGCAACGCATCTGCATTTCGATTCCTAATCGAGGATAAATGTAGATTTCGATGGGCCACAGCATCCATTTAACATCAGGTGGACTGTGTGCTAGTTTGTCACCCTTATTCTATTAAAAAAGCGTGGTATCGAACAATGCTTGGCTCGGATGTAAATATTCGAATGGTACTGAGGCCTTAATATTTATGTAGGTAGATTAGAATCAATGAAAGAAGCGTAGTATATACTCTTTGGTATATGCCAATCGCAAAAATAACGTTAACACAGTACTCAATTCTTCTTTTCAACCGACCTAAAAAAGGAGGAGGTTCTCAATTCGACTGTGTTTTTTATGTGTGTTACCTCAGAACTTTTGGTAAGTGCTTCTCATGTGGTCTCATATAAATTTGATCAAGATGTGACCAGTAGTTTCTCAGTTATCCTTAATAATGCGCATTAAATTGATTTCGCAATACATTGATGAGGTTCTCATTTTATTTATATTGAAGTCGTTTGCACAAAATTTTTGACTATACCACTTGTTATAGTCCAGACCTTAAACTAACAACTACTGTTTCACTGGCTTCACCGCTTTAGCCTATCGAAAGTCCACTGCTGAAAATAGGGCCTCGTTCATAGATTGATTCATAGGGACCACGCTTGGCAGGCGAGTTGATGAGGCGGCGCTGTCGTCGCGCCACAAGCGAAACACGTCGTAGCCTAAATCACGCTATCAAAGTTCCGTAACAGTATATATAGAATAGCTCCGTACTTGCGCCCTGCTTTCTGCCAAGGAAGGTCGCGTCCGTTTACAGCTTAAAGATTTCTCGTCAGATCGGTAAGCCAATCCCAAAAGGTGGAGTTTAGTGGGTAAAAGTCTCCACATAAATAAAAAGAATGCTCATAACATACCACGCAGTCGGCTGTGTGGTATGCTATGAGCATTCTCCACCTCCCTTCCCCGTTACCGAAAGGTTGCCATTATTTGCTTCGGGCGCAAAACAAAAAAAACTACCACTCTCAGCGTTGGCCGCTCCCCGGGCAGAACACCTTGCGTGGCGTGAGATCTTCCCTTTTCATTTCGCGGCCACAACGGTAACCGCAGTCTTTCATTAGGACGACGCTGTTGCCCAGCTCCCGGTTAGTTTCCCTCTGTCGCCTTTTACGACACCTGCGGCACGATATATGATAGTGGATATTCTTACACCGTGACTACATAGTCAACAAGCATATGTATTTAATTACAGATATGTTTTCTTCAGCGTGGCATTATCATTCTACGTGCCCGCCATTATAATGATCGCGTTGTACACTTGCATAGTCCGCGCACTCGCCGCGCCGCCGCCGATTCGAGCGCACCGTGGACGTACGCCCATACCTGAAGCTGCAACAACGGTGAGTTTTCCAAATTTTTTAATTACGTTAAGAAGAGGTTGGGTCGGCTCGAACGGGGAAGGACCACGCTCTCACAGAATACCAGCGTAAAATAGCAGCTTAATACTGCCGTGTTTCGTATGGTGAGTGTAGAGATCTGGAGACGCGTTTTTACTGGAAACTAGGCTTCTATCTTAATCTTCAGGGGTACAACGCATCTGCGTTTTGATTCTTAATCGAGGATAAATGAAGATATCTAAGGGCCACAGCATCCACTTACCATCTGGTGGACTGTGTGCCAGTTTGTCACCCTTATTCTATAAAAAAGAGGCCACTCTGTATTGTGTGACACGTTTCACAGAATTCAATTGTAAAACAACAGTTTTATCATTTCAATGACACGTGAGTCACAATATGTATATTTAAATTGGCGATGGACACACTTCGTCAACTAGTTCCCTCTGTTTCACTCAAACTAGAATCTTAAGTAACAGGCTGGAGCAGAGCCTTGGGGTACACAAAAATAATTTTAGACAGATAAGGGAAGTTAATTTATAACTAGCTTTCTTAAAAAAAATATAATTTAATAAATAATCTTGCAAGTGTTGTACTATTTTAGAATCATTATTAAATACGCCAACTTTTAAAGTCACTTGCCAAGCTCGTGTACTTAAAGATTTTTTTTCAGTACAGTCATTTAAAACTGAGCGAAGTATTAGTTTTGAAGACTTGGTTGGGAAAAAAATTACATTTCCTTCTGGACTGGAGCAGTTGGCTGTAAATTTTAAGCAACAGTTTTCAGAAGCATTATTTACGATTACACGATAAAAAGAGAATTTAAAAAAAGTTAAATTTGTAGCAACGGGAGTTAAAAGACCGTCAGACGTAGATTTGCTCGATTTTTTTTTATAAATGCCTGTAATTTTTAAAATACACAGCGAAGATTTTTTAAAATATTTTTCTGTTAACTACTACTTGACTTCACTTATCACCCGATTCCGACTTAACGCCGACTTCTGGGCATCTTAAAGAATTCAATTTTTTAACTAACTACAAATTTTTAAAAATATTTTGAAATAAATAAAATTAGTTTAATATCTTGTCCAAACCCAATATGGGTTCTTTGCGGCTGTTGATAAATGAATACTATTGCGTATGTACCACATTTTGTTTTGTTTTAGGGTCAAGGACAATTTTTAAGATGCAGCACACCTGCTCCATGTGGAACTACCCTTGTTCCACAGAGATTGTCGATGTATGTAGCGGATTTTATATCTTGATTAATTTTTATGATATGTAGGAAGCTTAAAATATCAAAAATTGTTTATAAAAGTACCTTAGCAGCTTATTTAATTTCCTTCTTAAGACATTGGTTGTCTGGAAGAAATTACTTTTAACTATAACACCGCCCTCTTGTAACACTTATTCTATTTTCTTACCGCTTTTTGTTTTTAGATTTTTGGTGTATTATGGGTGTACAATAAAGAGTTATCGATTTGATTACAGAGAAAGTTTTTAAGTATGAATGTGACGGAAGTCAGTTTTTTAGGTTTTTTTTTTTTAGGTATCTTCTATCATTTGTCATACTAATCTCGTTTAGTCCGTGATTCTAAATGAGTAACACCATCATAACTTATAAAGGTTTAAAAAAATAGGGGACAAGGAGATAATTACATCAGGATATATTATAATAAACATAGTTTTTGGGCCGTGGTAGCTCAGTGGCTAAGCGCTCGCTGTCATAGCCACCTGTCGAGCTGCTGTCGAGCCACCCTGGTTCGATCCCCGCAGACACCGATGTAGTTGTTAAGCAATTTTAAGTGCTGATTTACAACGCTCTGCGGTTAAGGAAAACATCGTGCGAAAGTTTGCATGTCTGAGAAATAAGAAAAAAATAGTTCGTAGACATGTGAAGTTCGCCAACACACATCGGGGCAGCGCGGCGCGGCGGACATTTCCTTCCTCGAAAGCACTCTCAGAAATGAAAGAGGCCCTGTGCCCAGCAGTGCGAGGTATATAGGCTGTAGTTTTTAACGTTTCGTAGCAAAATTACGAGTACTTATAATAACTCATGTTTTGAACAATGTTACGTTTATAACATTGGTTTCTTGTGTTTATTCTATAGCATTAATATTTTCACCTCAGAACCTAGGTTTGTTTCTTAAATAATTCTGCTTATGGTATACCCACATATTTGATAAATCGTGTATTTTAGTTTATTGTCCACTACTAATTAATTGAACTAGCGTTAACAGTCGCGCTGTGATCTCATCGTATGAAGTGGTACCTTAGTGTACTCTGTGCTCAGCACCAAAGTGTAGGAATGCCGTATTTTTATTATTCCTAATTAGTTTATAATTTATTGGTATATAGAAGTACAGTTAGGTAATCCAGTAACCTATATTATCATTCCATGTGTGCCTTAAGATGCGACGGAGGGAAACTGGGTCAGAAATGCACGCAGTTTGTCATCAGGTGAGCCACATGCTCACTTGCCCGCACTTCTGTATAAAGCAGCATCTTCCTGATAACAAACTCATAATGATAGCAAACTGGGGTTGTCATCTTGCCTATCGAGCATGGCAACTATGGCTAATAATTCTTCAATGAGGCCATCTATGGGGAAGACCTACGTTTAGCAGTAGACTTTGATGGGCAGTTATGATATTTAATGACGGCTTTTTATACCACCAAAACACCGAAATTTTACACGAGATGAGATATTGGGAGCAAAAGATGTGATGATTGATGCCTTTGGCACCAATCACAGCGTCTTTAAGATTGGTCCCCGCTACCGGGACACTGGCGATGTGGTTTAACTGCGCAATGGCCGAGTTACCTTATAATTTATTGGTATAGTTTGATGTAATCACTTTACATAATTGTTTATTTATATTGAAGTCAATATAAATATATTACGACAAATATATTTAAAAAATATTTTGCTAGGGCTACGTAGTATAATATAACTGTCAGTCGTGGATTGAATGGAGAGTAAATTAATTCTATATTATACCACGAATTTGGAATTGAAGAAGGTAACGATGTGACAAATCAAAGATGTATAACAAAATATTGTGGTGATGAACCTAATGTTCTTATTGTTTTTCTCAGTCGATGTGGACAACAACAACAATAATGTTTTAGACATCAGTGCGGAAACAATTACAAACACTGCCTTAAATGTATATATTCATAATAGTGATGACGAGTCTTTCTATCACGTGTTTTGAGAAAATAAGATAAATTAAAGGCTTCGGAAGTGTCAAGAGTTCATTTTGTAAAAGGAGCGAACAACGGATATAAATGGAGACAGAGTACTGAAAAACCAATTACGCACCAAATTGATTAACAAAACGTAATGATGCATATGTTAGGCAATTATTTCGAGAGCAAATAATAAACCAGAAAAAGTTTTGACTCATGTTTTTAAAAATAAAATGGATTTAGAGCTTATTAATTAACACTTGGCGGAAAGCTTTTCAAAACGTCTATTATATCTATCCTTAAAAAAATTATGACTATTCAAAGTTTCGTTCCTGTACATTAGACACAGAGACGCTGTGGTTTTTTACCAGAAATAAGGATTAAAAAAATAAGACGACGTACCACATGCTTAAAATACTAATTTATATAGAGCAATAAAACAAAGACTGTGAAATTTTTCAAATTAATATTGAATTTAGATTTTAAGACTGATTTGTAATGTCAAGTTCCTACTATTTCATAATAAGGAAATAATTTCCCTAATTGCTTTTTATTTTTAAAATACAGACTTTTTAGTATGGTGTACGCCGTATAATGTAGGGTTCTAGGGTTAACAACTCGCCTTAAACAGTTTATTAGAAAAAACTGAATATATAGTACCTACCTTCAATAGCGTAAATATCAAATCGGGATTCTTTTTATTCTAGCCAAATATGGAACAGAATATCTTTATTAATGTAAAAATTGGAAATCAAAGACATATTATTTTCAGACTTCTAACACCGAAAGGCTGTCATCTGAACGTCCCCGGGGGTAACAATAATGTTCAGTCTACTCCTATGAAGTCGACAGATGCAGAGTAAGTTTTTACTCTTTATTTTTTTGTTTTATTTTATCTTTAGGTATATTAGGCTCAATTTACATTGCTGCGGAACGGAACGGAAGCGAATTTTCGTAACGAAATTGTACATAGTATAATTAGTATTATAATTGATAGAATCAGGCGTTACTTTGCGGAAATCCATTATAATAAAAAATAAAAATTTCTTTGCAACCTTCCGCGAAATAAATACAATGATGTGTCTTACCTTGATTGAAGAGCACCTCCTGCCCTCCATCAACTGCATGCACTAACTCAGTCACCACTATTCCAGGTAAGACACACCATCGACGATAATACGACACGTGTTTCGCCTCTACACGAGGCATCTTCAGGTAATGTAGTGTAGACTCTACGGCGACTGAACGCTAAGTTAGCGGCAAGTTTTTTTTTTTTGCGCCCGAAGCAAATATGGGCAACCCTCCGGAAAGCGGGGGAGGGAGGTGGTGAATGCTCATAGCATACCACGCAGCCGGCTGCGTGGTTATGTGGAGACTTTTACCCACTAAACACCGCCTTTTAGGAAATGGTTTAACGATCTGACTAGAGATCTCTAAGCCGTATACGAACGCGACCCTTCTTGGCAGAAAGGAGGGCGCAAGCGGCGAAGAGCCGCTTAGAAGAGTGCCTAACTAAGGCAGGTTAATGGATGTGTTATGAGGGCTCTGCCTGAGCCGCCAGGAGGCAGTTCAGGTCAGCCGAAAGCTTGTTGGGGGGGTCCGAGAGAGAGTTTCTCGGTCTGCGCACACTATAGCGAGTGTGAATAGGGGCTGCATAGGCAGCTGTCTCACGAATGAGATGATTTGGGTGGGACTCTGAGGATTTGAAAAATCTCTCAGAGAGTGATTTAAGGAATTGCTGGATTGTTGGGAGCTCTAAGTCTCGATGTAGGTCGGCATTACGGACATAATAGGGCGAGTTAGTGGCCCTACGACAGAATAGATTTTGAACTATTTGAAGTTCATTTATAGCTTTGGGCTTAGCATGTGCAAAAATTGGGGCCGCGTAGATCATGACAGGTCGTATGCAGACCTTATATAGGGTTCGCTTGTTGCGGAGGGACATTTTACTGTGTCTGCCCAACATGCTGTTGAGCCTACCCATGTAAAAACATGCGGTGCGAGTAACCTTCTTGATATGGGGCTCGAAAGCGAGCCTTGCATCAAGGGTGACGCCTAGGTTGCCTAGGCTTTAGTTTGCCATGGGACAGGGGTTCCTAACATCCTGATTGGCGGAGTGGTGGTGAGACGACGTCGTTTATATTCGAAGCAAACGGCGGAGCTTTTCTCCGGGTTTACGTCGATTCGCCATTTTTGGAACCAAGCTCCTAAGTCGCTTACTGACTTTTGAATCTTGTTCCGAATCTGTGGTAGTGAGTTGCCTTTGGAGTAAAGGGCTGTGTCATCTGCAAAGAGGGCTAGTTTGACACCATTCGACGGGATAGGGATGTCGTTGGTGAATATTATGTATAGGAGGGGAGCAAGCACAGAGCCTTGAGGGACACCGGCTTTTATTTGACGGGTAGAGGATAGCGTGCCTTCGTGTCTAAAACGAAAGGTACGATCCTTCAGATAGGAGGCTACAAGGCGAACGAGACGGTCTGGGAGGCCTAAGTCGTACAGTTTGTAGATAAGGCCCTCGTGCCAGACTCTGTCGAATGCCTTGGCAATGTCAAAGAAAACCGCGATGGTTTTTTGACGGCGAGGGTAAAAACCGCTGAGGATGTATTCCACTATGCGGTGAACTTGTTAGGGGCACGAGTGTTTGGCTCGAAACCCGAATTGTTGTGGGATGACAAGAGGGTCGCCGTCTGTGGGAAACAAATGGCGCCTCAAGCGCACGAGAATGACTCGTTCGAAAAGTTTGCCCATGGCCTTGAGGAGGCTGATGGCACGGTGATTGGAGGGGAGGTGGAGAGGTTTGCCTGGCTTGGGAATGCCAATGACAGTTGCCTCTTTCCAAGAGGTGGGAAAGTAGCTGAATTCGAAGCAGGCGTTAAAGATAATGACCAGTAAGGCGATTACCTGCTCCGGGAAGTGTTTGAGGGCTTGGTTGGAGATACCATCCGCACCCGGTGCTTTTTTGGGCTTAAGCCCTTTGATGGTAGATGAAATCTCATCTTTGGACACAGTGATAGGGTCAGAGGCGGTAGGGGGCGAGTTCCTGCGTCGGACCTCGTCCTCCACTAGTTGGATGTGGAAGGGGTCAGTGGGTTGTGAGCTAGGAGAGCATTGAGCGGCAACGCTGTCCGCGAAGCACTCAGCCTTTTCTTCGTCTTCGAAGGCAATGGAGCCGTCGGGACGAGACAGAGGGGGAGTATGGGTTATAGCGTCTATCCGGAGGGCTCTCGCCATCCGGTAGTACGCTGTGTGAGGAGGGAGAGATTTTCTCCATGAGATTTCCCTTTTCGTGGTCTCTGTAGTCTTGGAGGCGGTAACGCAGTTTGCGTTGAAGGCGGTGGGCCGCGAGTCTATATTCGGGAGTGGGATAGCGTGCAGCTCTACGGAGGGCAGCTTTTTTGGCTTTTAACAGGTTGCTAATATCTAGGGGAAGACTAGTTTTAGCAACCGGGACAACTTTTTCATTCTCTTTAAAAGAGGATGTTATAAGTGAGGTAAGATTTTCGACCGCGGTGTCTATTTTCCCCGCACTGTCGAGGGCGTCGGAAGAAAGGGTTATGGGAGGGTCCGGAGAGTCTATAGCCGAGGCTAGAGACTTCTTGAAGCCCTTCCAGTTGGTGTAGGTTTTGGAAGTGGGAGTTGGAGATGGCTGATGGCCAAAAAGGAGGGATACAGGACGGTGGTCGGATCCTAGATCCGTCGAGAGGCTCGATTGCTCTAAGGTTAAGGGAAACTCCTTTAACTAGAGCAAAATCTAGCACATCGGGAGCGTAGGTAACAATGTCGGGATAGTGGGTGGCAGTGAGGGGGCTGTAGACAGTCAGGTCGAGAGACTGAGTGATATTGAGCAGCACCCTGCCACTACTGGTAGTAGTGCGGCAGGCCCATTCAGTATGCTTGGAGTTAAAGTCTCCAAACATAATGACTGAGTTGCCTAATGCAAGGATGGCTTTGAAATCACTCTTGACGGGGAGGGTTCCGCTAGGGATATAGCAAGAGGCTATAATGATTGACTGGTGTCCAGTCATAGCTAGTCTAGTGATAGTGGCTTCCATACTGGTAAGCGACGGAGTAGATATGTGGGAGCAATGAAGGGACTTTTTGTGATAGATGGCAGTACCGCCGCCTTTGCGGTCGGGTCTATCGTTACGTAGAAGTGAATAATTTTTAATAGTAAGGCCTTTAGAGACCTTGGGGCTGAGATGGGTCTCCTGTAGGAGTAAGAGATCGGCTTCGCGATCTCGTAGAAAAAGCCTAAGCTCTGGGAGGTTATTTCGCAGACCGCGGATATTGAATGAAACAAGCGACAAACCCTTGGGTTTGATACGACCGTGAGATATTGCGGGAGCAGAGGGCTCCGGCATAGTTTTAATTACAAGGACCTTAGAAGGTTGATGTGCTCAGTAAGAGCAAGGAGACGGTCCTGAGGGGACTGAGCTGTGCTCAGTTTACCCGCAAGGATAAGGATTTCATCTAAGTTGATCCTATTGAGAGTGTTATACACTAGGTTGAGAGACTCTACTACAGGGTCTGTCTGTTTTTTTGGGTCGGCGGAGGGCCGCGGGATATTTGATTCCTTTTGGAACCAGGGGGTTTATTGGAAGCGGCGCTGGCTGAGAGAGCGGAAGGCTCATAAGGGGCCGAGGAGGGCCCTGAGGTGGCCGATAGGGGCCCTGTGGGGGCCGGTAGATGCCCTGTGTGGGCTGAGATGAGCCCTGAGGGGGCTGAGGTAGGGGCTGGCCCTGGCTGGGCTTGCGGCTTACAAGAGCCGGGAAGGTTCGGTCATTGACCTGTGGTGGAGCTTTGCGGCTCGGAGGTGGGCGAGAGGCGCGAGGGCAACCTCTAAAATTGGCCGGATGGCCTGTTTGTCCGCAGAGGACACATGAGGGTGGGGATTCGGCGTTTTTGGGCCGTGGGCACTCTTTCGAGTGATGGGGTTCTAGGCACTTAATGCACCTGGGTGGAGCTGAGCAGTTGGCAGCCGCGTGTCCATAGAGTTGGCAGCGGTGGCACTGTGCTGGGTAACCGCGCCGGTGAGGGGCTTCGACCTTAACACGCGACAGGCCGCACACAGTGCGTACCTCGCGGAAAATGGCCTTCGCCTCCGGCACATTGGTGAGAACGAGGAGGGCGAGGTTAAACCTTTCGCCCCTGCTGCTGTGCATTTTATGCACACCTTCAATGGGGAAGCCTTGGGATTTAAGGTCTTCCAGAATGTCTTCGTTTGCGAGTTCATAGGGAACTCCGCGGAGGACTGCCTTGACTTTCCTTTCTTCGGCGGGGGCGTATGTGTGGTAGGACACACGCTCGGCCGTGAATAGGCGGGTTATTTTACGGAAGTCTTCTATAGACGCCGGCATAATTTTGATGGCCTCGCCGACATTAGTGGCTTGGTCATATTTGAAACCCTTATCGTAGAGGGTTTTGGACAATTGAGTGAATTTCGCCTTGTCTCTGAGAAAGACAGGGGGCGGGACTTGGTTTTTGGCCAGTTTGGGAGCGCAGCGGGTTGCTGGCTTGGCGGTATTGTCTTTCGACTGTGAGGCGGCAGCGTTTGGGGCTGCGGAAGTAGGGGCAACGATGGGAGCTGCGGAGGTAGAGGCAGCGGCGGAGGGTGTACGGGCGGCGGCGGCGGCGGCCGCCGGTGCGGGGGGAGTGGGGAAGTCGCGGCGCGTTTCGGGCCGCGCTTTGATTTCACTAGCGTGAATGGGGCTGTGTCGGTTATAGTTCCTTCGGAGTCAGTTGAATCCGAGGAGCCGGTGGAGCTGAGGGCGGACCTCTTCCGGGAGGAGGAGGTAACGGACGTGGTGAGCGGCAAGCCGAAACAGCTGCTATTTATATATGCCGACACATTCGCTCCCCACCAAAGTAGCGAGTGACCGCGCCGTGCGATAACAAACCTGCTACTTATTATCATTATTGTTATGATTAATATTTTTAAATATATTATTGTTATTGTTTTATTGATATTATTATAGTTATTTATTATTAATAATACGGACGGAGTTAGTGCATGCAATTGAGGGAGGGCGGGAGGTGCTCTTCAATCCAGGTAAGACACATCATTGTATTTATTTAGCGGAAGGTTGCAAAGAAATATATATTTTTATTTTTTATTAATTAGTATTATGTAAATTTTGTAATGCGGAAACTAGATATTATTAGCCAAAAAAGGAGTCGAGTGTCTTCTGGGGAATTCTAGCGCATTCTTGAGGATTACCGTAGCTACTGTTTATGGAATCAGCGGGAAATGGCGAGAAGGGTAACGTTTTTGTTTCTTCCATAAATCATGAATCTCCAAATATTTCTTTTACTTTTTCTGATATTCTTCCTTTCCTCATCATTTTCTTTTTCTTCTGCCTTACAAATAAGAAATATAAAAATAATATCCATTCTTGTCAAATGAAAATCTAGATTAAATAACTGAACGTTTTCTTTAGCCTCAAGGCGCAGTCGCGAGGATTCTCGAGCATTCTTGCGAATTCACGCGCCATCTCGCGCGACATGGCGAAATTGACGCTTCCCTTCCATTCCATTCCGTCGCAATTTAAATTGAGCCTTATTGGTTTGCGCGAAACTCTTTTAAAATTACAAAGTGGCAGGTCACCGGATCTGCTCCTTTTACGAATCGACCTATTACTGACGTCAATCACCACCAATCAGCTTCCTTTGACATACTCTCAATAATAATAATAATGTCCTCCAGACCGAATTTCGGTCACGGCGGCCAGCCTCAACGGAGACCAGCTATCGGCGTAGGACAGGATTATAGTGCCCATGTGTATGCGCAAGCACAGGTGCACTCTCTGTTCCCTCACTCTCATAATCCGATGGGACGGTAAACCGACACGACCGGAGAGAGATCAGACGCAGGACCAACGGCTTTACGTGCTTTCCGAGGCACGGGGGTAAAAAACTGAGAATTTCTCGGCGAAAAATTCAATAAACTGATTTTTTTGGCCCGACCCGGGATTTGAACCCAGGACCTCGATCAGCAGTCGCACTACTACAACCACTAGAGCAACGAGGCAGTCTCTCTTCGGTCCATCGGATTATGAGAGTTAGACAATATAGTACAACAATATAGTACAACTGTGCTTGCCACGCACCCGCCGTGAACTACTTGTGCTTGTCATGTGCAGATGGCTAGTCTCTTTTAAGACCACCCCGACCTAAATTTGGTTCCGAGGATCTTAGATGACAGACGGTAGTTAGTATGCATGCATGCAGGTATGCAAGTAGTTAGTTTTTTAACTAACTGACTTATAACTTATTTAATTTGTAATTTATTAATGTAGGGACGGCATCGGGGCCCGGCAACGTCGCGCGACACGCACCATAGTGATGCTCATGTCCCTTTTCCTGATTTGCTGGACTCCGTTCTTTGTCATGTTGCCAGTTGGTGAGACAGTTTGAAGTGTATTTATTAGCTTACAAAATAGTAACAGGTTAATGACATTATTAACTTTCTCTAATTTTAACAGGATTACACAGGAAACAATCGCCGCGGTAAGCCAATATGTATTAACGGATATCATATGTTCACAATTATATATAATTATATAATTTATATGCAAATTCTGTCACGATGTTTTCCTTCACCACCAAGCACGTGAAGAAATTAGTACTTAAAATGGCAATTTACAATTTAGTTGCTACCGATGGGGCTTGAAGTCAGTTTTTTTTATAAAATACAAGTGACAAACGAACTTCAGCCACCTGAGTGCATCGGTACTATGAAATTTTAAAGCGCGTAATTATCCTTAATTATCAGTAAATTTAGTACCCAGAGACCGAGCTTTGCTCGGTTTTTTTTTTGAAATTACATTTAGATACAAATTACATATTGATGAATAATATTTTTGATCGTATTGACATAATAGCAAAAACTGAACTGGTTATTTGAATTTAAATCATGAGTGCAATTAGTTTAGTTAAAATTTTCGTTTTTATAAAAAATACTACGAAATAATAGATTTTCTCACAAAAGAAGGGAACTTGAAAAAAAAAAAGGTAAAACAATCGGACCGAAGACAGGAAGCGAACCAAGGCATTACAATTTCGCGACCGCTTGATATCGACTTGAGCTATTACGATCATTAACTATATTGTAGCAGTTTTTCATTGCCTGAAAACACGGACAAAAAAGACATTTTCTAAAAATAAACCTAGCTAGATCGATTTATTGCCCCCAAAACTCCCTGGACACTAAATTTTATGAAAATCGTTGGAGCCGTTTCCGAGATTCCGATTAAATATATATATACACAAGAATTGCTCGTTTAAAGGTATAGGATTTATAGAGGTTAACATAGTATAATACTATGCAGTTTTTGTGATATATTTGTGTCTTGCTGATTTTGGTAATAGGGGCCATTAATTACGTAAGGATGATAAAGGCGATTTTTACGCCACCTACCCCCATGAAAGGGTATGTAAAATCTCTTACGTAAGATTCTATCTCGTTTTTAATGATAAAATGTTGTGATAAAATGATCAGTTACATTAAAACTCTCAGTTTACCTACGTAATCTTTGATTACGTAGGTAAGGTTATACTGTTTTATTGCTACATAGAATACCATTACATATTTTATTATTAAAAAAAATAGTTCTGTGCCTCCTGTGATAGGTGATACAAGTGAAAAATCATCATTTTATAAGAGCGCAAAAACAAGATTTAAAAAATTCTTGTTCGTGAACTAAGTAGGCTATGTTAAATTTGAGTATCTTCTTTTGTAGAGTAAAATATCATCTTTCGCTATATATTTTAGTTTTTTAGTAAATATATTTAATTTTTAAAGTAAATCATAATCTGTGAGTTGTATCTTTTATTATGTTTATTATGTGCTAAAATTATGTGATAAATGATACTTGTACAAGTTATATTACGTTGAACCTATAAGTTATCGTTGTGTAAACTGATTATACACGAAGTTAAAACATATAATAAGTCATCAGAATAATGATCCTAGCACAATGTTCGTCAAACAAAAGATAAAGATATAACTGTTTAGATTTCATTTTTTTACGTATCAGTCGCCTATTTACAATATTTACCTGAATTGTATCAGAATACTAAAATCCATCTTTGAATTATTGTTTTTTTATGAAAAACGGGATATGTTTTCTTCGTTATAAAGAACAGATCTAACGTTCAACCACAAAAACTTTTCATTGGCTGTATTCGTTTTCATAAAAGTAAAAGATGCTTTACGAAAATGTTAAAATCATAAAACATTTCATGAGTCATTTGGATAACAGTAAACTTGGCTGTATTGTTTGAAGCTGTACGCACTAGTTGCTACCAATCTCTTGGCAAGTGTATATCCATATTCGTGTGCTTCTTTTTACGCTCAATCAATGCATGGTCGGTGTCAGCCTCCATGTGTGTATGGCCGGGTACGAGAAATTTATGTTCAATAAATTGCAATTGTGGGGATAGTCTAGTAACTAGCATTAACATTGTTGTTACAATCGAATTCTTGTTTTGGCCAGAACAGGAGTCCGAGAACGTGATCAGCTTCTTAGCGTTTGGGTGTAAGTTTGGTAGTTGATTTATGATAAAATCGTATAAACACGAAGCAATGTCATTAGCCCCTCTATTACCCTCACACTCCGGCCACGTGTAACAGAAAGCCTTGTTTGTTTTCAAATCGTGTATGGTCAAATTAAATGTCCGCAATTGTCGCTTATAAAATGCAACATTCGTTTGCAAATACGGGGTGGGTAAACATTGTTGCAAATCAAATGTTATGACAGCAACAACTTCGCTCGATTGAGTCAGTTGTTTATCTGCCTTTTCGTCTTCGTAAGCAGTCTTAAACGCCTCTTGATGCTCCTTGAGCGTCTTGAGATTTGCAGCCTGATCCACAGATGCATACTTGAGTTTCATATTGATGCAGTCATATTTTGAACAAGTGTCTACAGATGGCTTTTTGAAGGATAAATTCATGGTTTCAAAGACCTTTTTAAAGATGGTTTTGCTTACTGGAGCATCAGTCTTCAGTTTGTATAGGTTATAAAGAACTTGAAGGTTGAGCTTGGAATTCAAAAACTTTCTAGTGGTTTGTTGGTTTGTTGCGGCCGTAGTGGCTTTATGTGCAAGGGAAACAAGTAATATGTTCTTTTATTTCCTCTAGTTTGAAATCAGTAATTGACTTACCAACTCGACGTTTACGCTGAGGAAGATGACCGACATTGTCTCGTAGTTTCTCGCATACCGTTTGTAGATATTTGTGACTTTCATCAAAAGTCTTCAAAAAACATCCTTTGCAGATTATATGTTTTGTATGATCAAAACCATGTACAAAGTAATGAAAGCTGACGTTGCGTTTTTTCTTTGGAGAAAACTTCGACGTTTTTTTCGCAATGTATTTAGTTCTATTTCCGTAACTACCTAAACTCCAGTACTGTTCAAAAAGTTTCTCCCTCAAGTCCTGTGGTAGTCTCTGCTTGTATTTTTGACGGCCGTTTTCAAGTTCATGAAGTTGCCGACGTTTCTTTGTTTTCCCTGATGTCGTTATATATTCTAAGCCAGTATTACAAAACAATTTTCTCCTTGCTCTATCCTGTCTTCTCTCCTTGTCACTTTTTCTTGTTCTTTTCTTTTTCCCGGCACTATTCATACCGTTGCGTTCCCAGAAAGAGCAACCAGGAACAGGATTCTCTGATGTGCTCATGGGCGACGGGGGTGTTTCTGGAACTGTAATATTGGAGGTATGTCTCACCGACGACGTAGCCGTTCTTTTCTTTTTAGCTGAAGTTCTTTCATTATCACTGGATGACGACGATTCATCAGTAGCGCAAATATATTTATCACTGCTAGATGATCCAAAATTACCATCGTCTGATGAATCTGAAATTCTCAAGTCATCTAGTAGGTATTTTGAAGAATTCTCTTTTGTCGTGTTCCTCTTATTATTGTCACAAACCGTTTTCGCAGCAATTGGAAGGTCCCGCGACTCTTCAACTGGTTTTCTTACTTCTTGCGTCCCTATTGATATGTTGTCTTCTTCCTGGATATCACTAGTTTTTTCTTTGTCAATAACCGTTTCTGCAACTATTGGGTCCTGATGACACGACCCTTCAACCGTTTTTCTTGTTTCTTGCTCCTCGTTTGATTCGTAGCCATATTCCTGAGTATTACAATATTTTTCTTCAATTTCGGCTTCAGAGGCCAATTCCATTATTTTATCAATTCGAGATTTTAACTGAAACAAACATTATTCTATTTAGCATTATATACATTAAAGTTTTGAAAACCACAGCACGAAAACAACAATTGTCTCTAAAAAGACATTAAATAATAAATCAAAGGTTAATCCCGCGCATCCGCGATCACGCGGCGCTTCACCCCCGCGCACCCACACTACCTACACTCGTATCATTTAGAGTGATTCCCAAAGTGGCCTATATCGACCCCTAGGGGTCTATGACAACCTGCAAGGGGACCATGAAATGAAAATGGGGGCCCACTATATGGATCTCAACACATACACTGATATAACCTATTTACTTACATAATACTATCTTATAATATCAAAACATATACATTATTTATAAAAGTACCTATGAAGTAAAAAAATTTATTATATATGTTTATAAAATTGTACAAGTTGTAGGATGATGGCATTCGCTTTGTGGTCGCAATACATTTTGAACTTGTAAAAACCTGAGAGTCGCAGTCTCAGAGCTTCGCTACCTTGCACTGACTTGTTCAATTCGTCACTCTATAAATACGAATGTGGGACAAATACGTTTATTCGTTTCCTGAATCTTGAAAAGGAAAGTGCTAAGAAAATATTTAAAAAATATAAACAGATAGTATATCACACAAATTATAGTGAGTTAGTGTTATTTTGTTTGAGAGTGCTGGAGAAAAGTAAGTACATTATTTTTTATTAAATTTTAGTTTTGTACTCGTAGTTAGCAAAGATAAATAAATTACGCCAATCATGACTTTAGTTATTAGTAGTTTAATATTCAACCATGCAAAATTACACGAGTACTCCTCAATAGTTTCTTTTTGAAAGTTTTAGCAATCGGTATTATAATTACAGTGCAATCTCCGTAATTCGAGATAATTGTTACAAGAAGATGTTCGAATTATGGAATGTTCTCGGAAAAATCAAAAAATATTTTTAATATACAGTTGCTGGATTTTCCGTCTGAGTAATTAAATAATTTAATGTCCGAATCTAAAAGGAAATGTAGACAGTACAGTGTTGATTATTAGAAATTTGGCTTCATTCCATCATTGCCGGACAAACAATTGCCTATGTGCCTTTTATGCAACAAAGTTTTGGGCAATGACGCTATGAAACCATCTAAACTGCAAGATCATCTGAGAAGATGCCACCCTGATAAAACAGAGAAAGATTTGAAATACTTTCTAACACTGGACAGAATGTTCGCTTCGACGTCACAAAGAAATGATGATGGTTTGCGGGCATCTTACAATATCTCGTTACTTATAGAAAATCCGGAAAACCGCATACTATCGGAGAGAAGTTAATTTTGCCAGCCGTTGAAGAGGTTTTAAAAACTATTTTACACAAACCTGCATCTGATATCATTAAAAGAATTCCCTTAAGCAACAATACTGTTGAAAGACGTATTGATGAAATGAGTTCTGATATTGAAAGCTTTTTATGTAATTATTTGCAAACGACCCATTTCTCTATACAACTGGACGAGTCAACTTTACCTGATAATGCAGCATTATTATTGGCATATGTTCGTTTCATTATGAATCAAGAAATCTACGAAGAACTGCTCTTCGCAAGAACTTTGATAACCGACACTAAAAGTGAATCAATATTTCATGTTTTGAAGGATTACTTCATTGAAGCAATTCCTTTATCAAATATAATATCAGTAGCTACAGATGGAGCACCTGCCATGGTTGGACGTTATCGTGGATTTATAAGCTATTTAAAACAAAATGTGTCAGGGGTGTTAGCAATATATTGCGTCATCCATCGACAACATTTAGTTGCTAAAAATTTGAGTGTTAGATTGCATGAATCACTTCATTGAGTCATTGATGCAGTAAACCGAATTCGAAGCAACGCGTTGAATACGTGGTTATTTGCGCAGTTGTGTGAAGAAAATGACGAACACTCATCAATTACTCCTTCACACTGAAGTACGCGAATGGCTTATGTTTGACAAGATTTTTTGCACTTTTTGAGACTATTTTAGAATTTCTGGATACTAAAGATAAAATTTTAAAAGAAAATTTAATGAAGAGGAAAACAGCCTATTTAACAGATTTGTTTACAAAATTTAATATGGTTAATTTGCAATTACAAGGCGACAGTTTAAACTTGATTAAAACAAAGTCCATCTTATCAGCATTTCTTGCCAGAGTTAAACTAATGAAGCAAAATATTGGACGCAAGCTCTCTTGCGCTCTTGAATCAAGCTGCCAGGAAGACGACGTTTCAACTTACGTCTCTCTCTATTCAGATTTTGAATCTAGGTTTGAGGATATTTTGACTATGGTAATACCACCGTGGATAATTAATCCATATGGTGACATAGAAGAAACCAATGTCATAATACAAGAAGAACTGACTGAACTAAGTACAAACGAGGAACTTAAGGTTCAGTTTAAAAACGGATATCAGCAATTCTGGCTGCAAAACAACATACCCGTTACTTATCCCGTATTATGGAATATAGCGAGGAAATTTTTAATTTCCTTTCCATCGTCATACCTAGTGGAAAGGGGGTTCAGTGCTGTTACCAATATCATCATTAGCCGAGGAGATTTAAGATTAACCCTTACAAAATTGACGCCAAATGTTGATAATTTATTATTAAAGCGTCAGGTTCATCCTTCTCACTAAAAATATTGACTTATTGCTTATGTTATTTTATTTATAGTTTATTTTATGTTTATTTAATGCTACTTATATTTTACATAACAGATAGAAAATTTTATTTTGAGTAGTTTTAATTTAAATTCAATTAATAAATGCATAAATTTACATGTGTTTTTACTTTAAGTTTTTAACACTATACTTTACTACAGTTAGAAATTTACAGGAAATCAATATCAGGTAAGTAGGGGGTCTACCCAACACGGAAAAACGTGGCAAGGGGTCTACGATACAAAAAAGTTTGGGGAACTCTGATTTAGCACATAAAAGTTATACATAATTATTTTTAGAATTGGTTTGACTTTTAAATACAATTACATTTATATCTGTTTACACATAAAAACAGATTTGTGTAGAAAGATTTATCTCACGATGTATCACTTTTCACAAAAAATTCATAAATTCACATTCGGATCGGTAGGTATCTATATGTCGATTTGTACCCTAGGCATATCGAAAAGAATCGGTTCAAAAGGATATTACTCTAGACACATCAATATTCACGATAATTGTACTGAAAAATAAAATGTAAAATTGAATACATACGAATTTAAATCACGAAGTACGAAAAATAGTGCATTGAGTGATTACTTATGGAGGTTACATCTTGACAAATATTGATATTCACGAATTTTTTGCCAAATTCTGGACAGTTATATCACTTTGCACAAAATTATCTCCGAAACTATAGCAGATAGAAGAACGGGAGTTAGACCAAAAAAAATCGTAATTATTTTCTGATAATGCCCATGTCAAAATCACAAAAAGGGTACAACTGAACTTAAATCAATCATCACAGGAGGCACAGAGTTGAGATAGTATCCAGTCTTTGTGTGTGTAGGTACATTATAATATGAAGAAAACCATTCGGCATCCAAAATGGATCTATTTTATTAGAGTATTACTTTACGTTAATTTAGACCAAAAATAAATTAAATTTCGATTTACAAAGAAGTACGTAAAAATGGGTTTTACTCTACCTAACCCCGAAGCTAAAGGTATTTAGTGATTTTTTACGTAATTAATGAATGCCCCCATGGAATCAGATTTAGAAGGTTGTTAAAAATAAGTCGATGCTTATGGACGGGTAGAAAACGATTAATCAATCATGTTTTGTTTATTTCCTAGATTCTCTGTGTGAGTGCGTGTGGGACTCGACGTGGCAGTGGTGCACGTGGTTGGGCTACACGAACTCTGCTCTCAACCCCATGGTGTACGCGGCCGCGTCCCCCAGTGTGCGCCAGGCGTTGAGAGCCTCTCTCGCTACCACCAGTTCTGCGCTAAATACTGATATACCAATGACGCCTTGTGTGCGGAGGGCCTAAAGTTTAAGGTTGTTAGCAACATCGTCTTTCTGTAGATTATATTGTTTGTATATTATACGAGGGCGGCACTGAAAATTTCGGCAATCAAGGAAGTGACACAACATTACTATTTAAAAATGTATTTATTGCTTTTCGAAGTATTCTCCGCGAAATTTGACACATTTTTTCATACGATGGAACCAATCATTGAAGCAACCATTCCTTGCGGAAGTTGGGGTCTCCAAAATGGCCGTTTTGTAGGCGTCCACAGCTTCTTCAGGTGATGAAAATCTCTGTCCCCGCAATTTATTCTTTATTTTAGGGAAAGTATAGAAATCATTAGGGCTTAGGTCGGGGCTAAACGGCGGATGGTCTAATAATTCTATGTTTTCTTGCTCTAAAAACTCTTTTGTTCTGTGTGCGGTGTGAGAACTCGCATTGTCGTGATGGAGGATGATGCGGCGGTTGCAGTTCTCTTTACGGAGTTTAGAAACAACCTGTGGAAAAAAATGCTAGCATACCATTCTGCATTAACCGTTCTTTGTCCCTAAAGAGGAATAAACGTAACATGGCCGGTTTTGGAAACAAACGTGGTCACCATTTTTTTTTGCAACACTCCGTGAAAGAACAATTTTTCTTGGCTTTAACTCATTTTCGAACACCTAAACTCGTGACTAGTTTTTTGTTTCGGGTTCGTACGCATATATCCAGGATTCGTCACCTGATACGATGTTGTATACAGCATTTGAGGATCCTGCGTGGAATCTTTCGAGAGTTCTGGCGCACCAAGTAACGCGAGCCGCTTTTTGCTCTTCACAGAGCGAATGCGGTATCCACCAGGAAAACAACTTTTTTACACCTAATTGTTCATGCAAGATTATTTGTATTTGATTCATGCCAATGTCTAAAGTTTCCTGAATTTCGCGGTATGTCACATGTCGATCTTCCTCAATCAGCTTACGCACAGCATCAACGTTTTCTTGGGTGACTGCAGTT